GGGGAGGAGGAGGAGGAGGAGGAGGAGGAGGAGGAGGAGGAGGAGGAGCAGGAGGAGGAGGAGGAGGAGGAGGAAGGATGGGGAGGAGGAGGGGGAGGAGGAGGAGGAGGAGTCCGTAGAAGAAGAGGAGGGTTGGAGGAGGAGGCCAACATGGAGGCGGAGGATACGGAAGCGGCCGAGGAGGCAGCCGAGGGGGCGGTCGGCTTTCAACCGACACTCGTCCATGATTGTTTTCACTGCCTCGTGGCCGTTGTCCAACTCGTGGATGAATCCGTCCGTTGTAAGTTCTGCAGTCAGGGCTTCCAGTATGAAGGAAGACAGGCGATGCCAAGGTTAGGATAGAGGAGCCGATGACGCGGCCGACGCTTTTTTTCGGCTTCGCGGCAGGACTGGACAGCCCCGCAGAGAGGGAGGGCGCGGAAGTGAATGCGGAGGGGTGTTAGGCGGAAGAGGAGAAGGTGGAGTAGGGGGAGGGGGAGGGCGAGGAGGTGGACGGGGTGGAGGGGAGGGGGACGAGGGGGAAAAGGACCGGCAGCAGGGGGGATGAGACCGCAGGGCGGGGAGAAGCCCCGCACTTACCCTCTGGGCGCGGGTTTTGTTTGTGCTGCGGGTGCGCGGGTGCGGGAGAGCGACGGCGTGGACCTTACGTGTATCGGGTGAATTCTGCGAGACCTAGACGTCTCTCACGGCGGCATGTGGAACGGACTGAGCAGGGCCTGAAAATGCTCGGAATGCCCCCGAGCAGCGTTAAATCTCCCTGGGTGCGTGGTTTGGCGGGCCTCAGAGTGAAGTTCGTGTTCCCGCGCCGATCAGGTTTGCTCGATAATACATTGTGCCGGACCACGAGGGGACTATCCTACCAGAGGTGCGGAAGTATTAGCGGCCTTCGGTCCATCCCGATACCATGCCTTGGTCGTGGACAAGAGGCTGCCTGCGCCTCATGAGGGGCCTCTTTGAAGCCTTTTGCGAACCTCTGAGACTCTCTGTGGGCCCGGCCTGGCGTTCTTGCTGGGGGCCTCTTCTGGATATGCTGGCTGTCTTGTTAGCCATCTTGGAATGGAGGTCCCCAAAATGGCACTTCGGGCTCCCCTCTTTGGGCCTTTTTGGAAGTATCCTGGCAGCTTGAGGCCGTGGGCTATCCTGTGTGCGGGTCTTGGGGAGCAGCTGGGCCGTCCTGGACGCTCTGAAGACCAGTAGGGACAGCATAACCTTGCCCACGCTGGCAAACACTTGCTGTTCTAGTCCGGCGAAGCCTCCCCGCTACTCAGGAGCATGTTGGTACCCTGCCTCTGTGGATTTTGCCAGCTGTGGTGCCCTCGCTTCCTTTTACCCATGGCATGTTCGGCGGTTGTGCCCCCTGCGCAGACCGAAGCTGGATCTCGCCCCCCTCGGCGCGGCCAGCCGCGCGGACGGCACAACTTATATTGTTTCGGGGGGCCAGCGGTCCTCACGGGAACTTGCACTTGTCTGTCGTGGTTTTGTTATGGGTGGGTGCGATATGGAGCATTTCGCATCGACTGGCGTTTTAAATTCATTCACGCTCTGATCCCCCGCGTCCCCCTCACAGTTCCTGCATCCTGCCCCAAACCCTCCCATGGAAGCTTTCCGCAGTTGGGTGGCTACAGTCGGCCCACACAGAAAGGATGGGCGACCTTCCCAAGGGTACCCTTGCATCTTTGCCTCCTCGGCCCATCTGTGGCCACTTTCGTTGGCCGCGCCGCGCCCGAAACGCCTCGAAGTGGGCGCCCGAGGCCCTTGCATCATTATCGCGCGTCCTCATGATAGAGGCCGACCGTGCTGCCTTTTTCCTCCGCGGTAGCGGCGGATCCAGGCTGTCTGAGCGCTATGGGCTTGGGTTCGAGCCAGTCTATTCTTTGTATCAACAAAAAATGACAGGAACCCTGCCCCCCTCGCCAAGCCCCTTCCTCACCCAGGGCTCGGGGGACAACACGTCGCCCCCTTCGTGTGATCCCTCCTTCTGTTCTGAAGGCGGGCATGTCCCTCCACAGAAGGATACTTCGAGAATGGTTTTAATAATCAGGGGGCGATGTTTCGTGTTCTGTTGATGTGTCGCTTTGTATGACGCTGTATGCTCGTGCAAATAGCCGGTGCTGTGTCGCTCTGTATGACGCTGGATTGGTTGGGTCGTTCTCGCCGCAGGGCGCTGCGATTTTTTCAAACGGCACACAGGGACCTTTTTGCACTTGTTGATCGGGAGTCTGTGGCCGCGCGGTTGCAAGGCCTCCCTCGCCCTTACAAGTTTACGCGGCATGGTACAGAACAGGATTTTGCGTACCGCGTGCTAAGGTTCTCACAATCCCGCGGACCCCGGGTCAAATGAGCAAGCTCCCTGCGGGCAGCGGAGGGGTGGTGACATGGGTCGCCCGAGTTTCTCTCGTGGCACGGCGCTTCGTACCACCAGGGCCAGGATACCAAATTCTGGTTTTGCCCTCCCCGCCTTGTTCGTCGACCAGGCCAAGCGATCGTCGGCCCCGCGAGTCTCCACGAGCAGTGGCATGGCCCAGACGCCGTTCTTCGTCGTCGAAGCCATGCTGCACCCCGCCGTCACCCAGCACGTCCTTGGCGGACACTCGGTGCCCTTCGGCGCCGAATTCCATGAGTTCCCGCACGCGGGCGGGAAAGGATTGCACACAATCTGGCAATGGTGCTCGTTCACGTGGAACATAATTTGCAGTCCGCCGAGCCCCATCGGACACCTCATCTCGTCATCTCGGCGGCACGTCTTCTCCATTCGGCAGCAGTTGCTGCGCAAATGGACGCGCGATGCCGTCGCCATGCCAAGAGCTGTTGCCCGAAGGTCCCGGACAGCATCCCTTTTGCTCCACGCGAGCGCGCGCTGCTGCTGGGCATGGCGCGCCCGTGCTTCCCGTCCAAACGCCTGGCGTGAGATGGCGCTGTCCGTGCACCCCCCCCCCTGCGCGCGCGTGGTGCATCATCCGGCTGGCACACGCCCAGCAATGCTTGAGAAGGCGGCGGCCCTGGTCCGCAGCAGGCCCGAGGCGAGGCTCGCCTCTCGAGCCCTCAGCGTCAGGCTCCTATATGCCGCCACGCTGGTTCCGGGCAGGCTGTGCTGTCCGGCGGAAGGGGACGAGGAGGGGAGAAGCAGGCAGACGACGAGGAGGGGACGAGGAGGGGAGAAGCAGGCGGAAGAGGACGAGGAGGGCGCGCCCCATGCTTGCGCGGCCTCCCAGGTTAAAAAAACACAGCTCGGCGCTCGCTGCCCTGCGCAATCCCCCCCCCCCCCGTTCTGGCCCCGCGCCCGCGCCGTCCTCCGACGGATCGCGGCGCGGCCATATGCGTGGGCGTGGGCCCTTCGCCAAAGCGGCCGCTTGTGCTCGTCCTCCTGGGGGGGGGCGCGGCGCCGGGAGCGCCGGGCCCGAGGTCGCCAGCCGATGCTCTCGCGCCGCGCAGCGATCGGCAGACCGCGCACCAGAGGCCACCCTTGCTCGGGGTCGCTCTCGCGCGCGGCCGGGCGGTTTCCTCGCGAGACCCTTTGGCAGGTAATTAGTTTAAGAGGGGGATCGAGGGTCGCCCCCCCTCTGCGCCGCACCTCTCCTTGCTCCGCGCCTTCCTCCCGCGATGCGATTCGCTCGCGGCCCCTGTGGGGAAAGTTGGGTCGATCGTCGCACCTGGTCGCTTTCGGCTTCTTCTCCTGCCTGTTGGGGCTGTGCCCGGTCGCCGCCACGGCCGGACCCACGCCGAGCCCTGAGCATGCGTTGCCGGAGAGGTGTCCGGCAGCGCGCGAGCGCAATGCCAATGTCGTTCGCGTTCGGGTTCGGCGGCGATTCGGCCGCGAGCCCTTGTCGCAGTACCGCGGGGGGGGGGCTCGGCAGCGAGCGAGAGGAATTCAGCGGCAAGCGTTGGACACAGGTCTGCGGGGAACGCGGGCGCGGTCGGACGTTCGTTTGAGCAGCGTTTGCTCATCTTGTCTGTTTCGTTCTGGCGAAACCGGATTCGCGTCGGGGCAATGGGGGGTGGCGCTATAACATTATGTCTCTCGATCGGGAAGATGGACTCATAGACGAGCGCGCGGCAAACGCTCAGCGACGACACCCCCGCCGCGCAACAAACGTCGCGATCGAAACTGGTAGCCTGCAGCGCGATCTCGGTAGCACTCGACAGCAAGTTTCGGCAACGGCTAGTGGAGTGTTCGGGGGCAAATGAGCGGCCAGCTGGGCTTCGCGACGGGGCCTGGCCGACCCGGGTTTGCGTTGACCCGGGTGGGCGTGTCCCCGAGACCCTTGATCGCAGTCCCACCAGGCTCATGTCTCGGCCAGCGCAGTCCAGGAGTTCGCCGCCCTCGTCAATCCCCAGACGGCGCCGGCGCGAGCCGCGACGCCACGAGGGGAGGGTCGGAGGAAATCAAGGGGGTGGATCGGATGGCCCAGGGGCGGGCGTTGCACTTTTCAGGGTCCATCAACGGCAACATTGTTTTCGGGCGCCGGTGCGGGGGGTCCGCGGATTTGAACAGGGGCGCGGCGCATGTTTTGGATTGGCACGGGCGTGGCGCATCGCATGTCGCGGTGGCGACAGCGCTGACCAGATGCGGCGGCGTGAGGGTTGAACCCGACCTCACTAGCGACGCCCGCTGCAATTCGTCGCGGCGTCAGTTGCGGCAAGCAGATGGGGGCGCTCATGGCGGCGACCGCAATGCCGCGTCCTGCGATTAGCGCGGCGACAGCGCGGCATTTTCCCAGCGGCATGGCAGCGCGGCATTTTCCCAGCGATGCTATGTTGTTGGAAAGGTAGTGACCGAGTGGCCGCAGGGGAACCTTGTCCAGGCAGGCCCACACGCGACGCGGGGGCG